ACAAAAAATAGTGAAAATTAGTGATGCGATAAAAACCTAAGAAAAAAGAAATTTTTTAACAGCACTCCTATTGATAGTTGAAAACATTTTCGTTAAATCTTATTAGTCATAACATTTGGATACCTAGTAATAAGTTTAGAAAACTGGTCAGCTAAAAATTATTGAAGTTCCTACTATTATAACACAATTTAATTTCAAAATAAAATTAATACTTAGACAACGAAATCAATATTGGTATAAGTAAATAACTTATGGATGTACATTTTAATATTTAATTTTTTTTAACGATTAGTTTTATTATTAATTAATCGAGTAACACGTAAATCAAATCAAATATTTTATTTAGTCTTTTAAATGTTAAATAGTTTTCACATTTTTGGGGTCTTATTCTGACAATGTGATATTTTGGATATTTTCGCACACTTCTCAAATAGTATCTTATTCAATTTGAAGTTAGTCGCAAAACCCTGTGGTTACAATCACCCTAACCCTAATTGAACCCAATAATTGGTACCTACTTATTTAATATAAATACGAATAAAATTAATTAGACTTACCTGAACACCGGACAGTATTTATAATACTGTAATATCTATTCCTTTATGGTCAGTTATACCGTTCAGATGTAATGGTAAATAGCTGATGTGTGTATTTTGAAGTTATTTCCAACCGATCGCGCCAGTAGAAAATTCTAAACATTGAATTTTCATAGTAAAATTTTAATTTTTTTTAACGTAGATATCAAAAGATTTGTAGTCTCTGTTCTCTGGAGACTATACCTAAAACGATTCATATAATAAACCGACAAGCGGTGTATCTTGGTAGCGATTTCTACGCTAGACGTTATTTTCCGATTCTAAACTTTACTATTCATCGGACACCGTTGGTCGAATGAAATTTTTTACAAAGACGGTTGTTTACCGCGAAAAGGTTTCCGGTGCGTACACGTGTTCAAAGGCGGTTGCGGTGGAATAATAAGTAATAGAGTGGCCGCGTAGACGGGATGGAGAGTGAACAGGAGATAGCCGGCGGGGCGAAATGAGCAGGTAACTCGCACTCGACCGCTGCGAGCTGGCGATAAAATGAAATATCGAATAAAATGCGGACGGCACACACACGGCGGCGGCGGTGGGTGAGTGGTCGGAGGGCGGAAGAAATGAAAAACGAAAATAGACCCGTTGAACTTTTCTTCCGGACAAAAGAGGTTGTTTTATTCCCCCGTAAACCCCCGGATAAGAGGGACAGGTTATACGCGCGGCTACTATACGCGACGCGGCGGCGTAGGGCGCTGTTACACGGTTGATATAAAAATGTCGAAAGTGTATTATAATGGTGTGTCCGGGCAGCTGTGGAGGAGTACAAGGATATACGCGACGACGATGCCCGCCCGCGCCGGCAGGGAGAAGGAATGTATAAATAAGTGGACCCGCGAGAATTTTTTCTCCAACAAAACAAACACACACGCACAATGATGCGCGGAGGAACGAGAAGAGAAGGGAGCTTGGGCGAGTTTACGGCGGTGGTGGCGGTTTTGTGTGAGTGCGCGCGGCGCGTTATGATGGATGGAGCACGAAAGACGGCGGCGGACAAAACGGGTATTATTATTTCGGAGGATTTTTTTTTCCTTTTTTCCCTCCGTTTTGATTGATTGCCCGGACACGGGGTGATAGTTGTACTCTCTCTCTTGCCCCCGGACCTACTCCAACCCGCCGATCGCTCGGTTGAATTCAATATCACGCGCCGCGGTGTCCGCCGCCGGTGGTTCACATGACAGGTCGTTAATGTTCGAAAATATGACGTATTTTTTACATTTTTTTTTTTTTTTTTATTGAATTTTCACAAACGGACTAGATGTACGCGGTGAGTCTTACGAAAATGATGGAACAGCCTAAAAATATTCTGTAGTACCGATTTTCGAAACGGCGACGATAGTTCTCCCGGGTACTACGATATGTATAACATTTTGACGGTCGATTACACTCGATTAGGTAATTTTACGTCTCAGTAGGTCAATGTTAAAATTTGAAAAAAAAAAATCTAACCAGATAATAATATATGTATAATAGACGCGATAAAAAGGTTACTCGAGTTAGGGATGCTGGATTTTAAAAATAATTATTAACTTAGTAAGAACCGGAGGGACAAAGACGGTACCAAAGTACGAAATTTGTACAATTCTAAATTTTTATTAGTAGAATATTTTATTTTACGAGATATAAAATGTATATTGGTATATACGCTCTTGTACTTGACGATAACAACAGACAAGTCGTGTTTAAGAAAAGCGTTGTGCTCCGTATTAATCCTGATTAATTGAAAATTATTTTAAATACTCAAATATGTTTGGTATAAAATAATCACGCGACATAGTTATTTTTAAAAAAAACGAAATTTTTACAGATTTTTTGGATATTACGAACACCGGAATAATACTTTGAAAAATGAAACGTAGTTACCTATAATAGCGTCCTTACATGAAATATAACACATTTAGTAAATCAGTGAAAAAAAAATAATTACGTTTTATAAATAATATTTCATAAGTTGAGCTCAGATAAAAATGTCACTTACCTTTTTTACCAGATGAATTAAATTAAAGATATTTATAATTTTTTTTTCGTCTAAAAATATTATCTAGGGCAGTGGTGGTCAAACTTTTTTTTCCTCGAGCCATAAAAACAACTTTTTTTTTATCGCGGGCCATAAAAAAATGCATTCTAAATTTTTTTTTACGTAAATGCAAAATATTACAGTTATACAAATAAGTGCTGAAATATAGAAGACTTTCGCGGACCAGATATTAAATGATGGTGGGCCGGAGTTGGCCCGCGGGCCGTAGTTTGGCCACCACTGATCTAGGGGATAATCTAAGTAAATTATATTCATTAGAATATTTTTTTATTTCAAACATTAAAACCTTACAACTTTCAATGTGAACTATTTATATTACTATTATAATTAAAAATAATGGTTATTAACGATTAAATTAAAAATTAATGTTTCAGATAAACTACTTTCGGTTTATTGAAAATTTATTGAGTAATATTAATAAGATAATTCTTATTAAAAGGGAATTAAGTACTAATTTTAAAAATAAAATTGTATTAAAACCGTGAATATTAGATGATTTACATCCTTTATATTTTTCAGATACTTTCAAACACACCTTGATTGATAATTTATTTAGAATGTGTTCATAAATTTACCTTCAAAATGTATAGCTTATAGAATTTTCATTTCAAAATTAATTTTGACTTCTAAAATCTAGTCAAAACAATTATTTATACTTTTAAGTAATTATTTCATTATTATTAGTAATTGTTTAATTATAGAAAATCAATTAGATGATTAACAAAATATTGTTTAATTTGGATTAAATGGATAGCAAATTTAATTACATACAGCTTCACATTAATTCTAGGTGAGTGACCACTTAACACATTTTTGAACAAACTGTCTCACAACTAAGTCTGCACATCTATAATTACACATATTCTTTCAATATTTTACTAAGTATACTTAAAATGCATTTTCAATCATTTGCATTATAACAATAACAAAACAAATTCAAATAATTCATTCTCTTGAAATAATTTTTTATAGTGGTAATGTTGTAAATTTATTACGTATTTTCAAAGTTTTTACCAGTTCTTCAGTTTCAGACTAAAAGAACTGAAATATAAATGTACATATAATTTTATACATATTTCACAATTTGATTATCCATTAGAAATTTAAAAACTATTAAAATTTCCCAATAAAATCCAATTGGATTAATTTATATAAAATATAATAGTTATAGAAAAAATACATATGGCATAAATAATAACAAAATAGAAAAAATTAAAAAAAAAGTAACTAAAAGCTTTTATTTCCATAATAATAAAGAATTCATCGATATAATTATAAAGATTATTTAAGTGATCTGAAAGTCTATTCTGTAAACAAAATTCCTAGTTCTTTAAACAATAATATAAAAAAATTTTAATGCTTTAAATTAAGGATTTGAAAAAAATTATTAGTTCAAAGCGGATATTAAAACTTAATATTTACCTGTTAGAGTAAACAAAATATAGTAATATTGTACCTTAACAAGTGGCATTTGTTCAAATAAACAGATATAAAACTAATTACTTATAGAATTTTTCATATAAAATATTGACAATTTTATACAACATAATTTACAAATCATTAACAACAATTAATGTTACTGTAAAAGTATCAATAGAATACAATACATTCTTTACATGTTATTGAACTAAATTAGAAGTAGAATATTTATTATCATACATTGAGTTTGTACAATCTATTTCTAATGTTTAGAAATAATTATATTAATTAATTGAGTTTCATGTATACATAAATATGCATAATACAGATCAATACATTTTGATTAAAATGCATTCATGAGAAATCTTCCAAATTTTCAAAAACAATAATTTTGAATTAAAAGATATACTTAAATTTCAATACCTGAATATTATGTTATCAATTTAAGTTAACATAACTTGTTGAACCTACATAATGTAAAATAATATTATAGGAAAAGGAGAGATATTTATAATAAACATTATTTAAAAAAAAATTGTAAGCATTAATAACAAAACATTGATTATGTTTATGTCATATAAAATAATAACAATACAAAGGATCTAATTTAATAATTTGAAACTGTTACACAATCAAAATTTTATAGTTAATTCAGACATTTTACACTACACTTCTTCTTTGATTTTTCTTTTGTTATATATGAACTCGAATAAAATTTAACAAATATATTATTTTATTATTTTTACCATACAGAAAAAGTAATCGTTAAATATTAAAATAAACATAATTTATAGTTGGTGAAATAATATTAACGTCTTTCAAATGCATTTACAAACTTTAAACAAGGATAAACCAAGCTTAAAAAAATATTTAACCAATTTATTAATTCAAGAAAAATATGAACTTTAAAATAAAATTCATTTACTAATTAAATTTCTGAGGGATGTTGAAATATTAGATAATTAATACATTATAAATTAAAATTAATTAGTCTCTAGGAAAAATGTAACATATTTATAACTTTTACCTGTTAATTAATCAGATTCATTATATCTATAACGCATCATTTTTTTTACACAATCTTTGTATGTCTCACGAGGGCCAGGAACAACTCCAACAGCCCTAGTGCCAAGACCAGCATTTGCCAACCTTCCTTCAGCTTCAATTATGGTTGTTCGTCCTTGATTAGTTTTACCTAATCCCATTCCTTCTTGCCAACCCATTTTTTGTAATAATTTATTACCTTTGTTGTCTGATCCAATACCCAATTTAGTGGGTTGTTCATAATCTACAGTAGCTTCTTTAGCCTTCATATATTTGTCTTTTAAGTTATTTAATGGTTTGTCAGGTTCATTATATTTCATTCTTCTTTCTTTAGCTCTATCTCTATACTGAATAACTCGTTTAGATTCATCGTCAGGATCCAATCCCCTTTCATTGTACCAATTCCGTATATTTTGTTTATGTAAGTCAGACATTTGTTGATGTTTTATTAATATTTCTTTACTACTAAATTGTCTTTTACAAAGTAAGCAAGCAAGTTTAACCCAATCGGTATGTTGTTCATCTTCACTTCGATTAGCTTCTTCCATAACTTCATTCACTTCATCGTTATAACTAGTGTCTTCAGAGGTAGAAGGCATTGAGTACAGGTTTTTTTTGGGTTCTGCCTTTGTACCCATAACAGAATACCCAATATCAGCAGCTGCTTGAGTTTTTGCAGTTTGTATTGCTACTTGGGAAGCTACTAAATTTTGTTTAGCCGATATTTTTTTTTGATTTAATGTTTTTGCCCATTTTTCCATATCCTTAGCAATACGTTTTGCTACTTTAACTTTGTCATCATCTTTTTTTTCTTCTACTGGAGTTTCATCTTTTTTAGATTCACTGTTTGTATTACTTACATCAGAATTTGATTTGTCATTAGTTGGTGCAGATAAATAAGTTTGTTTTGTTGCATCCCAATAAAGAAAACTATTAGTAACACTATTGAAATAGTATTGTGAATTTGCATCATAATAAAGCTTTGTAAATGGATCATAATAATAACCGGATCCTTTGTCATATTGATATGTAGATAAATCAGGAGGGGAGTATGTGACGTCTCCTTTTCCAGATGGAGGTTGACTTAAAGGTTCAGACTTGTTAGCTATGGGTAACGGAAAAGTAGAAACAGCTTGTGGCATTACAACTGTACCAACAGGGGCATAAACTGCTGAAATTGTTTGCCCTGATGGAATAGATGGCATATTAATAGTTTCTCCTTTTTGAATTTTTTCTGTGTAAAAATTAGTGTAATATTGTACGTAAGAAGTTCGTTCAACAGGAGTTTTTGCATATAAATTTGCACTAAATTCTGCAAGTCTGGGAACATCAGCAATAGTATAGTTTGGAGTTTCTGGTTTCTGATTACTCCACTTGGCTGCTTCTACTGCAGCATTACCCATAGAAGCAGTAGCCATTGGACCAACTGGTCCAAGTTTACAATAAGATACAAGCACTTCTTTTTCATCAATCAGTAATGGATCTTCCACAATTAATGCATTATGAAGATACATAGCATCAACCACATTGTTCATTTCCAAGTAGCAAAGACCTTTAGAAACGTTTGTCAAAGGATTTCGGCCAATACGTACACTGCGAATAGGTAGTGTTGATAGTGGCTGTATAGCTTTAAGAACATTTTCTTCGGTAGTAAATAGTTCTAATCCACGAAGTAAAACAGTGTGTGTAGGATATGAGCTTACTTCTTTAGTGTGGTCAAAAATTTCCCCTATTTCTCTTGAAGCACCACACACAAAGCAGCTTTCCCTGCGTTTAAAATTGTGAGCATTACATTTACACCACCAATCAGATAACATTTTTTCTGGGTCAATTGTAGAAATAGTATATTGCATGATCGCTCTAAAGTTATCTCTAAGCATCATTTCACCCTGCTTGGATTCCATCAGTGTTTCAGCTTCTGCTTTAGTAAAAAATTCTACAAATGCAAATCCACGAGATGAGCCAGTATCTTTTTTTCTAATCAAACGTATGTCAACAGGTGTTAGTCCACATCTAAGTATTTCTTTTCTGATGTCGTTTTCTGAAATATGAGGCGCTAGACCACGAACAATTATAGTTTTATTAGGAATTTGTTTTTTAAATGTATATCTATCAAAATCTTCTTCTCGATAATATTCTTGTGATCCATCTTGACTTCTTCTAGTATCTACAGTATTATGATAACGTCTAGTACTAGTAGTACCTGAATCGGAATATATATTTCTAACTCTTGGCCCTTCTACACCATCATGACTTCTAGAACGACGCTTACGACGATCTTCATCGCTACTATACTGACTTGTTTGTGAGTCACGATCACCTGGAGAGTATCGACTCCTTCTTTTAGGTGATCTAGATCTTGATCTAGATCTACTTCTTGATCTAGATCTATGATGTTTTTTATGTTTACGCCGTTTACTTCCATGTCTACTTGAACTTTTATCACGTTTATTTTTTTGACTATGATCACGGCTTCTACCTCTTTCCTTACTTTTTTCAGTTTCCAAGAAAGAATCTACAGATTTATACCAATTAGTTTTATTATTCGTTGTATCTACACTTTGTTCATTATTGGTACTATGATTAGATCCATTTGAACGAGGAGATGAATCATAATTTACTAAGTCCATTTCAACACTTCGTCTAGTAGATGAGTTTACCTCATCATTTGAATCATAACCACAGGTATTCTTGACCATAAATTCTCCTTCCATCTTAATAATGAAACAAACAAACAGACAATATTTAAATTAGTCATAAAACTTATTAACTTTTAATATGTAATCCTCATAACGCCTTGGTCCCTTTTACGACCTTCTTCATATACTGTTCATATACATATCAATTTTACTTACCAAAAAACAATGTTAATTATATAATAAAGTATATAAGATAATATACTAAATGAACATAAAATATATATACACACACATAAACATTTAAATATCAAAATGTCAATAAAAAAATGGAAACTATTTATGTTATTCCTTGTCATGACTTCCATAATTAGTAATTAACAGACTTTACCTACATAATACTATATTTTAAATAATTACAACTACTATATAAAATTGAATTCATATCTATTAATGCAAACTTAATTAATATAAAAATACAAATTAAATTTAAGCTACATTTAAATTTAATTTAATTTGGTCCTACCTCAAACAAAAATGAATGTTCTGATTAGCACTGGCAACGTGACTTTTAACTTATGCTTGAAGTCTTTTGAATTGTTGAGAAATCTGTAATACAATTTGTATTGAAAGTGAGAGCAAGAATTAGAGACCATTTTATGAACAACAGTGGACACTTCGTCAACAATGATATCAATCAGTTAGATGCTCAAGATGAATTTCTGACGCATAGCCAATATCAACTAACCTTCAAATATTAATAGAACTAGTTGAAAACTAGTTTGGACCCATCCTAAACCAAAGCACAATGATTGAACAGGCTGTTGTACAAATCTGCAATACATTTACAATGACTTATGATATTATAACTAATAAACAATTGTTAAATCAAGATATTCAACTCCTGTGGTGGAATTGATTTAATTCCAAAATAATTGTTTTCATGAATTCCAGTTCTTTAAAATATGTTTGCAAATTAATTCATTAGAAATATATTAAAATATTTACTTCCATAATATACAGGTAAAATTAAAAATAATAATATTCCTCAAAATAGCAAGCATAAAATTTGAACTATACATAAAATAACTATATTATGTAAACTAGAAGATTAAAATGCTATACTATAATAATACATACACATATATATATATATATATATATATATATAGAATATTATAAGTACTATAGCAATTTAATATGACACAAAGATATTAAAGATATTATATAAAAATAAATGCAATAAACAAATTTAGTTGTACAATACACGTATTTAAATATTTTAAATTTATTCAGTAATGTAAAGACTTTAGTATTTTTAATAATTTTTTTTTTTTAAATAGCTTTTTTTAAATTATATTATTTAAACAATTTAGAAGAATATTAATTTTCATATTAAGTTATATAGAATAAAAATAAAACTATAATGAGAAAATTAAGATTTTATTTAAATAAAGTAATTTTGATTGGATAACCCATGGTTTTTAAAATGTAGAAAATTTGAAACAAAAAATCGGTTTTATTTTGACAAATAATCATATAATCATAAAATAATATATACTTAGATAATAATTACTTTATACCTATATGCATAAATAATTATAGAATAGTCTATGAACATGGATTAGTTAAAGTGTATTGTTGTTAATATTTAATATCATATTTATATTTAAATAATTTACAATTTATTTATAAAACAGAGTTTTTAATAAAAAATCTAATTTTTTTTATATATTGTAAATACTTAAATTTCTATAACAATAAGCATAATTAGATTCAATTAATTAGACAGTGGATTCCAATTAATGTGAGAATATTGAGACCAGCTCCATTCGCTACATTAAGCAATTGCCCATAAAAACAAAAATTACTTCGAAAACACAAAAATTTATAATATCAAAAAAAAGTTTTTATTTTGTACACATGACCATACAAATGATTAAAAATTAAAATTGCTACATAAATAAGACTAAATAAAATTACTATTTGAATGTGGAAGGTGTATAAAACGTTGTCTAAGCTGTTTAGTATAGATCTGGTTAACAAAATGGGCACATTCTTCAAGCTTATCAGATGGACTATTTTCGTTACCCTCTTGCATGAAAAACTTCTGCAGTAAATCAATGCATTTTTTAGCCTCTTTAACTGTAACTGGTGGATCAGTATAGTCGTTTTCTTCTTCTTCTTCTTCTTTTACTTCTTCCAATTTCCTTTTTTTAAGAATATTTTGTACTACAACATCACAAATGTCTTCATTATTATTAAAGCAAGGAGCATTTTCATCAATATTTTCAAACTCAATATAATTTTTAATAAGTAAAATTTGTTCATTTAATTCAGTCAACTCAGGCTGTGGACTAACACAATTAGAAAATCCACAATGAGCAAAACAATTCATAATAATTGTACAGCTAACTTCTCGCCAGCTCTCAGATATAAATTGTATGGCTTGCAGCATATTTATTTTGCCACTTATTTGGTTAGCAGATGTAGATGAATCAAACAGTTTTTCCTCAATCTTTTCAAGAATAAAATTAACCAGTTTCATTCTATACCTCATCTTGAGGTCTTTGATAATACCCATACCTAAGGGTTGAATTAAAGTTGTTGTGTTTAGTGGTAAGAATTCTAAAGTTATGTTTTTAAGTTCAATGTTTTTTGGATGTGCAGTGCAGTTATCAATAAGAAGAAGTATGGACCTAGATTTTGCTTGCAATTCCTTATCCCATTCACACAGCCAGTTCGAAAATATGGTTGAAGTCATCCACGCATTTTTATTCGAGTGGTAATGCACTGGAATTTTATTTATGGACCAATGTTTAAAGCATCGAGGTTTTAAACTTTTCCCCACTATTAGCAGCTTTTTCTTATCATTCCCGGTCATATTGACACATAATAAAACTGTAATTCTCTCCATTGCTTTTTCTGAACTGGATAACATTTCCTTTTTGAAACATAAAGAACCGTCAGGCGTTGCTCGATAATACAATCCAGTTTCATCTGCATTAAATATATTATCTGGGCTAAAGTTGTTCAATATTTTTTGCAGTCTGTTAGTTTTCCAATCATTAGAGGTAGATACATCAGCACTTGCTTTTTTACCATGAGAACTTTTGAATTTGATATCATGTCTAACTTTCCACCTACTTAACCAACCATCAGTAGCAATAAATTGATTGTTACCTATTTTCTGAGATAATTCTTTGGCTTTGCATTTCAACATTGGCCCAGAAACACGAACACCATGGCTTGTTATCAATGAAAACCATTCACTTAAAGCTTCCTCAACTTCAGGATCTTTCCCTTCCCGTTTACGTTTTTGATTGCCATTTTGAGTTGAGTTGAATTTTTCCCGTAAAATTACTTCTTCTTTGAGTAGTTTCGCCACCGTTGATTTTGGAACACATAATTTTTCAGCAATTTTACGTTGTGAAGTGCCTGAAGGAAGTAATTTCACTTTGTCTAAAATTTCAATTTTTTCCTTGAGGGAGAGATCTTTTCGTGGCATAGTATCACATTGAAATTCAAATTAAAATTGGAAATTATTGTTGTCGAGTTAGAAAATGTGTGCCGTCTATCACTTTATTTTTATTGCTTCTCATTTATCTAATCAACAAAATCCCATTAAGGTTTAATTGGTAATGCTTCTTACTTATTATATGCTTTCAACAAACACAATCTCATAAATATAATGAAAGCCAATTATATTAGTAGCTTTTAAATACATATGTATGTGTATATTCTAACGCTATGATAAAAATTACCTACATTATCGAATTGAGTACTCATATTATAAGATCTTTTAATCTTGTTAGTATACATTTGTATTGGGACCCGACCAATTTGACCATATTACATGGATGCCCATATTATCCAATATCTACATTAGGCGATATCCACTGTATTTATTTATGAATTATTAGAGTTTAAACAATGGTATTCATTTATAAATCTAAATACCTATTGTAATTGGTCTAATAAAGAGTTAATAGAATTAACATAATAAGTCTAAAAAAAAAAAAAAAACATACAATACATCTAACTAATAGGTACCTATTGAACTATACATAATAATTTTAAAATATAATATTAAATAAATATAAAACAATCAATAACTATTTTTCTTAAAAGTGAGTATTTAATGAAGTGATAATTAAAAATTGTAGACATTTAAAACACAAATAGATAAATATAGCAATTAATTGATAAAATAAATAAAATACATTTTATTTTAAATAACTCTTAGATTAAACTAAAATCTAGAAAATATATTTAAAGAACTTATGCTAGAAAATATTATTAACTATTTTAACAATCAGATTCGAGCATGATCATTTTTATAACAAGCACTACTTTTATACGAATTGGATTTTTATAATTATCTGCATACATTGAATATAGATATTTATAAGACTTAGTACTTATATTTTTAATATATATATATCCAAGGAAGATTTTGGACACCTTTATGGTTTTACTATTTTGCCTATAAACCAATGGTTTTTTTTTAACTAGTCAATAGATATTTTTGGTTTATGGAGCAAAGCAATGATGCCAAAGAGGGCAATCATGAATGCCAAACATTAAAATAATAATAATTGGCATGTATTAAATGATTTTTCTATAAGTTAAGCTACATCAGATAGTAAAGAAATACTTGAAAGTTAACACGTTGATCTCTACACTCTTTAAAACTATCAATTTATTCAACCAATTGAACATACATATAATTAATATGTACTCTGTATATACTCATAGGGACACCATAGGTAGGTAGTGGTAAAATAAATTATAAGTGACAAAAATAAACCTTCATACTCCTGGACTCCTATACACATAATAATTTACCCATAGGTATAGTGGTAATGTGTAAATAGATGTTCACTGCCATATGTGTCCGTCTTCTCCTGTTGTCTGTCGACACCAAAAGCTGTGATCACACACATGATCAACAACCTTCAGATCAATAGACACATACCCAGCGGTATGAGTAAGCATAACGGAAGGAGAATGGTGAATGCTCGTACCATCGTATCGAAACAGTTGACAGTGTTATCAAAATGAGACAGTTAACGACACATTGTCACCAATCATCAGGTCAAATGAACAACGTTAACAAATGGTTATTACTATTGAACGAATTGGTGGACTACATAAGTTGTTTCCAGGGTACTTACCTCGGTCGGTTGCGGCGTACCGTGTCCGTCCGACTTGTGGATTGGAAACGTTCAACGTTAATTAACCGCGTGTCACCGTCAGAACGCGATGCCGACCACCGGACGTTTCATTGACGTTGATATCGAATTAATATAAACGAGCGCCGAGAGAGGAAATCGCAACACTACACCGACGCTGATAGTTCTGAATAATAGTAACGACGACAATGACGATTCGCATAAACTAATTATTAAAAAAAGAATAAAGAAAACCGTAATCGAAAGTTAACTATAATAATAGTTATTATTATTGTCCGCGGACCGCTCGTGTTATCGGTATCGATTCACCGATAACACGGGTCCCAGCGGTTGCACGCCGTCAGATTCCAAGGAGAATAGACAATTTTCCCGCTATTCTTGACTAACCGTAACATTGCCGACGTACGCGTTTCTTTTTGCGCAAACTATTTTTTTCTTAGACTTGGAGTGAAATTATTCAAATGATTTTTAAATACTTTGAGCATGAAGTATTTTCAATGATATTTGAAATACTTTATTGGATATATTATTTTTTTATTTGACATTTCATTTATTCAGTATTGGTGGAGCGAAAAAGAGAAGAACAAACATGGCCGACGAAAACTTTCGAGTAGGTATACAAATCATAACGTAATTTAACACAGGTACACCTAAATTGCATTTCCCGTTCCAATTGCTGTTTCAAGTTACAATTATTTTAAATCCGTCTAACGTACCACTTTTCGAAGTCGAACGTTCAATTTACGATGCTCTCGTCTCGTCGGTTTCTAATCGCGTGCCGGAACGACTAAAGTCGTGTTCGAACTCCGCGCGCGTCCCGGTGACGTTGCGTTCACGAGTCTGGCGATAGGAGAAAACCAAAGCGAAAAAAACCGTAAGCCCCCCCCCCCCCTAATGTGAATTCTGCCCTTCGGATTTACTATCGCTTTATATCGTACAAATGTATTATTTTATATGATTGTGATTTTTTTTTTTATTCAATTAAGCTTTTATCTTGCTTGCAATATTACGGCTCTTAGTGATTATAATTAATAATAATAATAATTTAATGATTTATTTGGATCATTTAAAGGTACCGGGATATAATCTCAACTTATAATTTTTAGTCAAAAATTATAGGATTGAAGCCCCCGCTGCCCGTTGAAATGTCTCCCGTTGCGCATATGATACTACGTCGATTCGCGCGGCAATTCGAACGTTCGTGGATCGGTGTAGGACGAGCGAAAGGGACAAGAAAAAAACCGGCCGAGTAACCCGAACATTATCACGGGGTCGCCATCGTTCTGCGGCCCTGGTACGAGACCGTACATTGCGCACAACAGCTGGTGAATCGACGCGCCCGTCGACCAACGTTGCACCCGTCGACCAACGTTGCGCCCACCGAATGCTTCATAGGACCCTGGTTCGGCGTTTCGCCTAAAGTATTCTAGTACGACCGTCGACTAAAGGTCCCTCGGTGGCCTATTCATTTTATTATTATTAACTTTATATTAGCGGTGGCGATATGGAAATCGCAGACCTAAACTCATTACGGCGGTGGCGGTGGTGATTTTTATTCAGTATAAACATAATGTATTTATATATTACACATATATTACATACAATAATTGTATAGTTAATTAATTCCTATGTCAACAGCGTTTCCCAAAGTGTGTTCCGCGGAACCTTAGGGTTCCGTGGGACAATACTAAGGGTTCCGCCAGATTTATGTGATTATTGAGAAACTTATTTTATATTATACTTGGAAAAAATATTATTTTGTATTATTTAAAAAAAAGTTGTGTTTTCAACTAGTTCTAATAAAGAGTTATCGTTAACAATATTAACAATAACATTATAAACATTTTTTAAAGTATTGATTTTCTTTTTTCTTTTTTTCTAGAAAAATTAGAGTTGAATTGGAATTAAAGACATTAGGGTTCCGCGAAACACAAACTATTTTCCAAGGGTTCCGTGATTATAAAAGTTTTGGGAACCGCTGTCATACATTATATTATTTGATAAATTGACGATTTATCAATATAGTTAGTACTATACTAAGTACTTATACTCAGGAGCGGATCCATAGTTGGAGAACCGGCTATTTCATGTCACTTAAAAGGTCTGAAACTGAATTATAACTATATACCTTGTTATAAAAAAAAACACTATAGCAATATAGTATGTGTTTTCAAGTTTATTCATAGTTATCATTGAAAAAATTAACATTTATTATATTTTGTGGAGTCTTACATGAGGTGCGGCATAAAAGTGATTTAATGTATTATACAATTAAAAAAGTGACGTTATTTAGGGGAAGGGTTTGGAAACTGAGGCATTCGGCCCAGTATGTTATTAACTTCAGACAATTCACTTAAAAAATATGAGAAGTCTTCAAGAAGCCAATTTTATCGACAACTATTAACTGTGGGTCAACTGACCTGAACCCACCCTCTAGATCCGCCCCTCCTTATACTATTATACATATTATATTCATAATATATATATGTATTGCTTATTTTTATATGATTTATTATATTTTCATATTTCAGTTAAGTAAATAATATATTAATTTATAACTTGAATAGTTTCTAGAAAATAATCAAAGTCTAGACAAATATACACCATATATATTAGGAATACAGGTTTATTTCACTATTTTTCTTAACGTCTATTTGATAAGTCAATTGATAATACCGCTGCGCGGTCACGGTGGCCGAGCATGCTGCGGTTTTTATAAATATCTCTCGGTGATATTTTACTGCGGCCGACTTACCGCTGAAGTGTGCGGACTTCCATTACAATACGTGTGTACAAATTTAACGCCACCGCCATCACCACCGCGGCAATATACCGCGGATCTGAAGAGTCGTTTTTTTCTCAACTGGTGTGTTTTTATTTTTATTTTTCATCCTTTCCATCAGAATTATTGTTCCGATAGCACATCGGTTTATCCGGACGGTTCAAATTTCTGGTTTTTTTTTTTTTTATTATTAAATATTTAAAATGTTCTTTGAACATCTCATACACATCGATAAAATCAACTAGAATAATCATGAAAATATACACATTTTATATACGGATATTATATATATATAACTTGTTAGAAAAACTGTGAAAATCTTTTTATTACCAATTTTTTTTTTTTTTTTTTTTTTCATTACCGTTTGAATGTTAAATATCACCGAAACTCTGCAGATATTAAATATTCCGCAACATTTTTATATTAAAATTCTTAAATTTCACTGGAATTTATTACGTTAAATTGGAAAGTTGAAAACATGATTCTTAACAAGCTTTATGCAGTCAATTAAAAAAAAAAAATACCGGAAATTCGTAAAATTATTTTATAAACGTTGGAAAATTTATTTTTGATAAATCCGTTATTTCAACGACATTCAATTAAACGACATGATTATTTATAGGTTATTCTAAAAATATTAAATGTATTGACAGGGCAATTATTATGGAGTATTTATTTAAACATTTACTTTATAATTTTCAAAATATTTTAATATGATTCTTTCTATTCAGTATTTATAGTCATTTGATATTTTCAATTTTTTTAAAAAATTCCAATTTTCTTCTCCAAAATTCAAATCCGATAACATGTTTAATTTTGGGTTTTGTAATACTTGAAATTTCTATGCAAGATTCCTTATAAATTACTCTTTTTTCAATGTATAAATACTTGTATGAACACTGATTGCAATAACATTAATTAAATTCCTAAAATTTAAATAATTTATTTAAATTCCTAAAATACCTATGTCAATTAATTAATAGATAACTTAATACAAGAAGAAGATGGGAAAAAATATTTTAAAATATGACGTATTGAAATATTGAAATAATAATTTGTAATATCAAAATTATTATTCGTATATGCTCACACAATTATGGTGCACATTTTAATTTTACACTATGAAAATAAATAGAATATAATAGAATACAATAGAAAATAAGAAAACAAGTAAAATATTGATTTAGAAAATTATTATTTCAACAAAATTATTACACATATTAATATATATATTTTTTTTTCGTTAATCGATTTCATAACACATGAAATTTAACGTCCAATACAGCCATACCGGATAATTTTTCATTAAAACTTATTGTTAATTAACAATAATTTTTTTTAATTTATGCGAGTGTGTTTCTAACCACTGTCGGTAAATTACGTCAGTAATATTATGATATGATAATTGACAAGTCTAAAATTATAAAAAATATTTTTAATGGACATATTTTGAATGGGTATTATGCTAGACGAAGTTCTTCTGATGTAAATATTCAAACTCAACTATTATGTCATCGTATTAAACGCCTACTATTTATTTTTTAGGTGAATGAATAAATCTAAAAAATCTCATACTTGGGCGGAATCCAATAAACGCGCACATACTCGTATAATACTATGTTTTGTGGAAAAACATTTGTTTAAAAACATTTTAAATAAATGGTAAACCATTCAAAAACGATTTCGATTAAAGGTAGGTGTAAAATGTACAAATAATATATCACTTTTATAATCGTAAATACTCGTGGGAATAATCGTTTGCGTATGTCAAAACGTTTAAAACCTACATGTAATTAAAAAAATATTTATAGTAAGGTCAGTTTTCTTTTGGTTCGTTGATAAAATAGCTTAGGTGGGTTATCCTTGTGCAGAATTTTCAATCTACAGATTATTGTATATAACGTTCACTTGTTCGATCAAATTAATAAAAATGTTAATGTTTGCTGGATGAGATTTAATATTATTTATATTCAAGTAATTTAATGATTTATTTTAGAGTCTGAGTGAAACGTGGAAAGTATATTGATTTTACCATTATGCATGTATTTTTATTGGTATAAAATATGTATACTATAAATGATTTCGACCAGAAGAATTGCTCCGATCTTCATAAACATTAAAGACTTCTTATAGGAAATATGATCTGATAGTTACTTTGAAAGGAGTTATTTTACAACAGTTTTCTTAATAATAAAAATATTGATGAAAATTTATAAAAAACAAAAACATTTATATAATTCCGGTTTTCGACCAAATTTTTATTTTCATCATAACTCAAAAATAATAATCATAGAGACTTCTTATTCACTGAATGATTATGTCACCGTTTTGTATATAGATAGTAATAATATAGATATTATTTTTTAGCTATAAATAGAAAATTGAAATTTTCATATTTTCTTAATTTTCTGTCGAAAACGTCACTAAAATAGTTTTGTTATTCAAAAAAATCCTGAAAATGTAGTACAACATTTTTCATATTTATATAGGTATTACTGATCAATGAAA